GGCGCTGGGGGGCTCCATTTTGACAGCAGCTTTCAGATGCCTCTGAAACAACCAGTTCTCGCAACACGGAAACCCAGATCATAGAGATATGGTTTCATAGAGGAAGAACTAAATTAAGCACATGTGTGGTGGAAGAGGGTGAGAGAGGGAGATGCGATTAGGCCCAGTCACAGAAAATGCGCCCACTGCAAGAAGGATAGTGTTGAAAGCCCTGCCAGCCCTCTCACCAGGACAGGTTGGCCTGATTCAGCTCCCACAAGTAGCAGCTTGGGGTAGAGTAGAGAACATGGACGTGGCTCCCATGGAGTTGCTGGAAGAGAGAAATGAGGAGATCAACAGGCAAACGTACCCTGGGGACCTAAAGGGCTGCCCTGTGGCATTCTGATGGTGCTCTGACTGCGGGACAAGAACAGGCCTAATGCCTGAAACACTGAGTGTCCTCCTGTGCTCTCTGCCAACCTCTTGTGCCCCTTACTAGTAAGAACCCTGGCACAGCCCGGCCTTCACCTCTCTGCAGTATGCCACATGGGTTGCCTCAATAAAATACAGTTCAGAGAGAAGGGCAAGGGAGAGGAAGGAAGAAAGGGATGATGGTCTGAGGCAAGGCCAAGACAAAAAAGCACCAGAAGTAGCTGCCGTGCAACATGGGTGGAGCCTCCGGATCACAGAGCCTACTGTGTGAACTGGATGAACCCTCTCTCTCCTTGTTCTAAAGGAAGAGGAGGAGGAGGAGGAAGAGACCCAAGGAAACCCAAGCCCCAAGGCTCTCTGGAGGGGAAAAAGGACAGAAGGCCTTGCCTTTCTCCTGCTCTGTCTCTGCCTGCAGAAGGAGAATCTGTGAGCAATGGAGGGGATAGAGGCACACCTGCCCTTGTGTATTCTGTAAGTCTTTTGGTTCACTTATGGTGTAAAGGGGGAGGACACACAGTTTTGATGGCACTATTCACTGACCAGCACCATTTAAAATCGGATTTACCACTTCCAGGTACCCTGAGGGACAAGATCCTTGCCTCCACTTGACATTTACAACATATTGCTGCAAGGATAGTGTTTATAGGAGAGAACCTGTGTTTTGACACCCCCCCTTCAGAGCCCAGAAAGCTCTTTGGCTCCCTTCCAGGAGAGGAAACAGGAGGTCTTAACAAACCAGGCTTGCGTGGGGATGGCCTGCAGGCTAGGAAAAGAGCCAAGGCTGTGATGCCAAAGTACCTGCGCATTGACGTGCTTGATAAGCTTGTCCATGTTCTTGTACCAGAGGAGGGCATTCTCATACTGGAAATCAGAGCCCATTGTCATGACAATATGATTGGTGCGATAGTGCTTGGACTGCAGGAAGAATTGATAAATTTATCAGTAGTGACCCCCCTACCCTAGTGACCCCCCTACCCTAAAAGGCGTGCCTTGTTCCCCAGCAAATGGCCACTCTTGGAAACAGGCCACAGTTTTCCTTTCAGCCTTTGCTATCCCAGATTTTGCTTCACCTCTCCTGCTTTCACTTCCGCCAACACTACCCTGACTGACAGGACCGGACCAAGGAGTCCTGGCTCCCAAACCCAATTTCCTTCCTCTAACCTGGGCAGATGCAACCCCTAGGAAATAGGCCACTAGATTCTGAACATTGTTTTCATCGCTGTCGTCGTCCACAATGGGGTCATCAGAGCAGGACTGATCCCAGCAGAGAGACATCGGAGGATTGTAGCCATTTGGTAGGACACCTACCAAAAGACAATCAAGAGAGAAGGAAAGGGCAATGTGTGCTTGTTAGTTCTTCCATCCCATCCACCGCACCCCCTGTTAAGGTCAAGCGATTAGACCTACAAACAGAGAAGGAGCACTTAGAGGAAGCCGAGAAGGCACCAACAAGCTGCACAACAGCACTAGAGAGTCTGCAGGGTTGCCAACCTTCAGGCATGGCCGGGAATTCTCCCAGAAGTACAACTGGTCTCCATTCTACAAAGATCAGTTCCCCTGGAGGAAATGGCAGCTTCAGACGGTGGACTCTAAGCCTCAAATCCCTGTTCAGCCCATTCCCCAAATTCCACCCTCCCCAGGCTCCACCCCCCAAATGTCCAGGGATTTCCCAACCCACAGGTGGCAACCCTAGTAGACAGGAAGGGAAAGAAATCGGTTGACCCAAGGTAGGAAAACAATATGCGAGACTGTGAGCTGGGGTTTGGACCCATCTAGGGAAATACCAGTACAAACATGAGCCAATTACAGTGCACGCACATTTATGTCCTCTGCTCACTATGTTGCAACACCTACACTAGCCATGTTCCCCACCTAAAAAGAAGAGCTCCCCATATAATCCAAGTCAACCCAGACAGATGCGCACACATGCAATTCATGAGTTACATACCCAGTGAGACAGCTATAGATTCAACTGTGCTGGTGTTTGGAGAGGAGCAAAGAGCACATTGAACTACTGGCTTAATCAAACGTTCCCTCATCACTTTAACAGTCTGTCAAGAATGCAGACCAAGATGCTGAATTTCAAAATAGAGACCTCCAGGCAAAGTGACTTGTGAGGTGTAGATGACCATTTTCTTTCTAATTTTGTGATTATTTACATTTCCTTGGGATCAAACACACGGGTTCCTCGAGGTTCAGTACTGCCACCAATACACGTGAGACCCTGGGTGATACCAATATGCTGATGACAGCCAGCTAAGCAGCCAGAGGCACCTGTTTTGGTTTTGAACAAGAATCTACTGGTCGGATGACTAACGGAGACTAAGCTACAATCGAATACTGACTAGGGATACAGGCTGGAAACACAGATGTTCTGGAAGGGGCAGACGTCTTGATGAGATAAAGATAAACCATTTTTAAACCAGGAAAAGTATTTCAGGGTGCTCCAGGTCTTAGTCTTGGCATGAGAAAAGCAGGGTGGTGCTGTTGCAATCTTTTACATCAGGCGCATATTATCCTTTTTCTGGTGCTGGCAGATGTGGCCATACTGAGCCACACGCCTGAATCTTCTTTGCTAGATTACTCTCAAGTGCTCTGTGTGTGACTGCCCCTCAAGACAACCTGGAAACTACAACTGAAGGTGGACAGCCCACCTAGCCTTCTCAGGGATAATGAGGAAACCAGCACCCAGGGCTGTGCCTAGCTTTCCTCCTGCAGTGTTGGAGAGTACAGAAGCAAGCTTGGTCTCTTGGGACGGTATCATTTTTACCCTGCATTACTCTAAGCTCCCATTTATCTGACACTTCACTTTTTGAAGAAAAACATTTCTACGGCTTTCATTGTGCAGGTCAAAAGTTCAATTCCATCATCTCCTTGCAGTTGTCTTTTCCCTGCACATTCTGATGGAACACATCCCGTCTAAGAGGAGTACATTTTCATGTATAAGTCCGAAGCAAACCTTTAAGCAAGACTCAGCAACGCCTAAGCATTCCCGTTCCACCTTTCTCCTGACCACCTTTGCTTGTTGCCTCAAACAGCAGTATCTATTCATGTTATTTTTTGTAAGCTCTTCCACAATTTTCTAGACATTCAAGCAGAGGGACCCAGGAATGAACTTCTGAACCTGAACCAGTTTAACCACCAACCTGCCTAATCCCCTCTCTTGCTTCCACATATTGCCAGAGCCAGTTGCTGGAAGATCCTCTGGTAATAGCTAGAGGCAAGAGATTGACACATTTCCTAGGGGAACAAAATGTACATATACACTAGCCAAGCAGACAATTTGGCTGATGTTCAGGTATGAGGACCCCAAACCAGAAGAAGAGAGACTTAAGAACTTGCCCTTAACCCACCAGTGAAGAGGTCAGCAACTGGAGGTTCTAGACTCCCGCTCGCACGCCACAGCTGCTCCATCTCCCGCACTGCCTCGCGCCGGGCCTTGTCCTGATAGTCGATGCGGCCCAGAAAGAAACCATCATAGCCCATCTGGGCAGAAAAGACAAGAAAAGTGTCTGAGAGGCAGAAGAAGGGATGCAAACTGAATCGGAGAAGCCCAACCATGGGAGCAGGAGGACAGGCAAAGCTCAAGGACTGCTTCACCGGCTTAAGACAAGGATGCCAGTTACATCACACAGGTGCATGTAGGCAAGGAGAGAGGTGGTCCTTGTGCATTGATCCTGGAAGTGTGGGCTGACCTGTGCAAACAGCGACGCCTGCTCCCGGCTGTGCCCAAAAGGGTCAATGTGCCAGGCCACCCGGGGCCGGCCGCACTCGCCAAATGTCTCTTTCAGGAAGTGGAGGCCAAGGCTCATCTGATCAATGACAGACGAGTAGTGTACAGCTGCCTCGTCATTCATGCACCAGCCGCCATTCACAAACTCCAAGCGCCCTGCAGAGAGAGGGAAAGCACGTCTGACTGGAGAAGGTGCTGGCAATACTTCATTGCAGCTCTGCTGAAGAGGGGGGCAGGCACGTAAAACACAAGCTAGAAGACAACCCCTCACACCCACCAGGGCTAAAAGGGGAACCTGGGGGAGATCGCTAGGCTACACTACAGCAGGGGAAGAGGAGGGAACTGCAGGCTCACACCTACATGCTAACATAATGCAGCAAGAGAGAGCCCAATGCAAAAGCTACACAGCTCTGCAAGAAGGATGCAGAGGGATGCATTATTGGCCCCTCCCTGCACATTCCACCCACACTCAGCCTGCTATCATAGCAACCACCACAGCCCTCCACTGCCATGAAGGAGGACGCACCCATGGGCTTGTCCCTCTTGCCACCTAACCCTCTTGCCTGCCTGCTAGAGGAAGCAGGACTCTTGTTTTGACCTCCAACAAGTAGGAGAGGGCAGTGCAAGAAGAGCTAAGGGGGAGAAGCCACATTTGTATTTCTGTTCGTGGGTGTGGAGCAGTTAAAAAAAACAACATCAACACAAGACCGAAGAGTTCTCCAGGCTGCGGCCTGGCAATGCAGCTGCAAGTAGAAGCAGTGGCAGCCAGTCTTTCACCATCCTTGTAGCAGGAAATTCTCTTGAACTAGTTATGGTGTTCAGGTGGCCTGGACTCCAGCCTTACCTTTCCCATCAGGCACGCTCACCCCTCAGCAAAGACCTCTGCCTCTTCCTCACCTGCGTGTTATGAGGCAGAGAGACACCAAAAGAGTCTGACTCTTTTCATCCATCCTTACCCTCGGCAACAAGCTGCTGCACAGCCTGGCGGGTGGCTTCTGTCTGCAGCCCCCACCAGCGGGCAAAGAACACCACTTCAACATAGATGAAACGTTTGCTGGGGTCAGCCAACAGCTCAGGAATGACCGAGTCAAGGATGTACTCCACCCCAGCGTGCTGGATGTCATTACGAACTGCAAGGCAACAGACAACAAGTGAGAGGCAGCTGAGCAGGAATACCCAAGGCTGAATTAGGGCCCTCCACTTTCTACGGAGCACCACCTCCAACTGCTGGCTGGTTGGAAGAGACAGTACTCCACAGAAAAGGTAAGGCCCAATGCCCACTGGCTCATCTATTGTCACCCTCAGCCAAACGGCTATCACAGCCAGTCTTCTAGGACTGAACCGCCACCCCTTCTTTGATCCATGAAGCAGTGCAACACCACCTCAGGACTCTCCTCAACAGCAAGATGCAGAAGGAAGGCTTATATTCCCAGTGACCTTGTTCTGCCCTTGGAAGGCAATATGCTTGCAAAATCCACCCACATTAGCATGACCTTCAAAACAGGAAGGTATTAGATGCACACAGGGGAGGAAGAAACCGCCAAGGCCTTTTTACCAGCAGCACTTATCTGCATAGAGCTAAGGAGCATAGCCCAACCCCTGTTTCAGCAGGGATCAGTACTGGACTACACCTGCTCCAACCTGTGCGCAGTCAGCACAGGCAGCCTTAGCACTGACATCAGACTTCAATGGGTAGCCTTCTTGGGGACCTAACAGCACTGCTGGGGGCACACTAAGACCCCTCCCACCAGCCTGCCCTGCTGCTGCAACTCACCTCCAAAGAAATACTGATCCACCGTCTTCAGCCAGCCCACATCATCATGTGTGTGCGGGATAAGATGGACATTGAGCATGTTGGGTTTGGTCACAGGGCAGGACTAAAAAAAGCAGAGAGGGAGGGACAGGGTGCTTCTCTGAGCTAAGTTACACAGCACAACAAAACACCTCACAAACTGCCACAAGGGAGCACCAGTCAGCTGAAAAGGCATACCTGGAGGGAGGTAGAAAAGCCACCACTGAGAGCTACAGTTTGTGGGGACGCAACATCTCCTGGTGATCCCAGGCCCCAGGGAGGCCAGGTTTGCTGCAACCAGGGCCAGGGCCTTTTCGGTGGCAGCTCCTACCTGGTGGAATGAGCTCCCGGAGGAGATCCGGGCTCTGCGGGACCTTGCGCAGTTCCGCAGGGTCTGCAAGATGGAGCTCTTCCGCCAGGCTTTTGAGCAGGAGCCGCCACTACCACCACCTTTACCATCCCTACTTGCACCATCATTGCCAACTGGCCCTGGGAGGAGTGAATGACAGCGATGCATGGAGCTGATACCACAGAACTGGGAGTACCATCTTCAAGATGCCATCTTTTATTGAAGACCAACTGAAACATCTAGAGCACTTTGAAAGATTGTAAATGACTGTTTTTATGTTGCTTTTACCCTGTTTTATGTATTGGCATGTGCCTTATCTGTGAGCTGCCCTGAGCCCACTGGTGGGGAGGGCGGGCTATAAATTAAAATAATAAATACATAAATAGAAGAAGAAGAAGAGATTGGATTTATACCCCGCCCTTCGCTACCCAAAGGAGTCTCAGAGCGGCTTACAAACTCCTTTCCCTCCCCCTCCCCACAACAGACACCCTGTGAGGTGAGTGGGGCTGAGAGAACTCTGACACAAACTGCTCTTTTTCAAGGACAGCTGTGCCAGAGCTTGTGACTGACCCAAGGTCACATCAGCAGGTGCAAGTGGAAGAGTACGGAATCAAACCCGGTTCTCCCAGATTAGAGTCCGCACACTTAATCACTACACCAAACTGGATGTTTTACAGCAGGGCTGATTCAGTACTACTGGTTTGTACTACTGATTCAGTGTGTCATAGGATGCTGGTGGCAGGTTAAGGACTCTATTGTCCTATAACATTCCTTACCTAGTGGCTTTAGAGCATCTTAGCTGCAAGCAGAGAAGCACAATGCAAGGAGATCAGAACAGCCAAACAGGAGGCCTTCTAAGATTCTGCTCATAGGATGCACTGGAAACAATTCTGATCTACTGGGTAAGCCAAGGGGAGGGATACATTCTTGGTACTAACTTCTTCCATTTCTTAGATGGAATGGGATTTGATAGATTATAAGCAGCAGAGGTTGGTTGCCCAAATTCTCCAGGTTCTCTTGTTGGGACGGTAGTGTGGCCTAGCACTAACAGCAGGGAAGGCTGAGATCCATTGTCTTGATTCTCAATCACACACTGCTGTCAAAGTTTCAAGCAAGGCACTTTTCTGTATTGGTCATGTTTAGTTTAAAGGCTCATCCCAGGACTTATCGAAACTTCAGTGGTTTATTTTAAGTTCTATCCTGAAGAGCTCATACAATTGCTAGCAGAGCCCCCAGACAACTCAAAAGCCAAAATCCTGTCTACTTTACTTGCAGTTGTCCCAGAAACATGAGACTTTCTTCTGAATAAATGGGTGTAGGACCCAATTTATTTTGGTACAGCCAAAGGGTGCTTTGCTTGCACTACAACCATTCAGTTATTAAATACAGAGGAACAAAAGAATGGACTAGTGGGACAGAATTTACACAGCAGAATTCTGGTAAAGCCAAGGGACTGCCAGCAATCAGCTTCCAGAAACTGCCATACAGCTTCTGCTTTCTTTTCTATGCTACAAGCTACAAACAATCCAAGAGCATTTTCATATGTGAGACTTACACAATTGAGACCACTTTAATGCAGAAGAAAAACATTCATCACGCAAATATCCTGGCCTACACAGATTTACATTCACGTTGAACAGCACAAAATGCTTTAAGCCTCATGTATGAAGGAGCTCAGAGACAGCAAGAAAGCATCTGTGGCACCTTCTACATTCACACGGCAAAAGGCATCTACACACTTTCCCAGCCTGGGAGAACAAATCTACCTCAGCCAAGCTGCTGGAGTGTGCACTGTGAAGGTAGACACACACATACACACGCTGCTGTGGCTGGAGTGTATAAGCATGTGCTTTCTGGCTTCTTGAGCAGGAAAGGCCTGCCAGCCACATACACCATGTTTCTGGAGAACAATTCTGTGGCCCCATTAAAAAATACCTTCCTGTATCATAGGGAAGTTTTCAATTTACAAATACTTAGGCGTCCGGCAATAGCTGGGAGGGTATGTATGATACAATTTTAAATGCAAGTTGCTACTGTGTTACTGGAGGCAAAGATAGAACTAACAGTGAAGTTTTCCAAAGTGACGGTAGAGACCAAGGCTGTGCTTCTCTCCTGGTTTTCAAATGCTCTGCATCTTTTTGCTACTAGCCTTGACAACAATCCACAGCAATAATTTCCATTAGCTGCTGGGTTGATCTACGCCACGAATTTAAGCCTTTGTGCTCGCTGGGTACAATCTGGCCTTGATGTAACACTTGATCTCACACACACTGCACCTATCCCACATGAAGCAGATAGGTTATGCTGCCAGTGCGAGTAGGCAGCAAAGGCACAGGACGCCCTCCTGCTAGAGAAGCATGAGAAACTGAACTACCCAAATGCAGGTATGATATAATAAAAAGTAAAAAAAAAATAGGCTTCTTTGGGGAAGTCAGTTCCAAGAACACATAGACAGGAAGGGACTTTTGCCTGGAGTCAGACTGGCCAGACTTTCAGGCTAAGAAATGCCAAGGACATAAGGGAAGCAGAAAAGAACGCAAAGCAACAGAGTAGAGATGAAGGACACAGTTGTTGGGAAAGGCATCTCCTATTGTTCTCTAATCAGTTTACACACACAATGGAACCATAGTCCAACTCAGCTCTCTCTGGAAGGTGTGCAGTGTCAGGAAGAACAGGGATTTGTACAGTCAGATGCCATCCCAGAGAGCCCCAGAAGCAGTGGTGGAAAAAACAGTGGCAGAAGACACTCAATCATGCAGTTTGTAAAATTCACTGCCACAGCACACAGCAATGTTAAAAAGAAATTCACTTAGGGGAACACTGGGTCTACCATTTATCCCATCTATCCTTAGATGAAGAGCAGCAAACGTGGTTCTGCCCTTTCTTCTGTTTTACCTTCACAACAAGCCTCTGTGAGAAAGCAGAAAATAAATAAAACAACCCTGTGAAGTAAGCTGGGCTGGGAGGGAACGACTGGCTTAGGGTCACCCAGTGAACTTTATGGTTGAGTAGGGGGTTCAGCACAAGACTCTCTGGTCAAAGTCCAGTATGTTAACTATGATATCATGCTGACTCTCAAAGCATGTGTGTGCCCTTCTAGCCATATCTAGGTAGTAGCCATTGCTGGGGACAGAATCCTGGCTTTAGATGCTCTTTAGTTTGACTCAGCAGGGCAATTCTGGTATACTTTGCCTCCAGCCCTACTCTGCAGGAAAAGGCCAAACTGTACGGACTTGTCCTTTGAGCCTGCAGGGCTTGGTTTAAGAACAGCCTCAGTCTCACCTACTAGCAGCACTCCTTTCCCAGTCTTGAAGTTTTGTACTTCTGACAAGGAGCCCACTGAAAACACTTCCTTCTCAGGCAACCTGTACCAGATCATTTAACCTAGAGCTGTTTCCTTTTCACAGGTTTTTGCAATGCCTGTCTGGTTTATGGAGTGCACTTTTGCCCTTGTCACTGGATCCTTACAGGAAAAGTGGGAGATATGCATTAGCAGTTATGACAGCAGAACATGGCAGCAAATAGTTATTCTCACAGAAGGCAAGAGCACGGCTCTAGGCATGCTGCATTACACTTCCTCTTTCAGAGTACCTATCAAGAACCACCCAGGATTCCTCCTTTCATTGAAGCAATCTTGAAGGCCTATGTTTTTACAGATCATCTTACCAATGCCACATTATCGGGGGTCCCCCCCCATTAAAACCTACAAGAGGGGCCAATAGCTAAAACCTTCATCAAGGCTCTTTTTTAGATACAGGGGAGAAAAAACGATAGTACTAGTGAGTCCCTGATGTGAGCAATTCCTGTAAATCGGTACATATTACACTCTCCTCGTTTCCCCCCTACCAGATCTCCAGAGTATCCCATCTGGCTTTTTGCCTGACTGTCTCCCTTTGCTCCATGCAGACACCCATTAAACTGCCGCCACCCTTCTAAGACAGAGTCGCGCTCACTCTCCACCATCCGATCTCAAGTTCTCATCCGATCTCTACCTTCCTCCCAGATGTGGCTCTCTCGGACCCTCTTACCTGATAACCACAGGCTGCCTCACCCCCACACAGTAGCGCTGCTCCAAAGAGCAGTCCCCATACCACCGGAAACTCCATCGCTACTACCCCACTGCAGCCCCACCACCAGTTGCCACAATACATCGCCTGTCATGTGACCAGCCCCTCACATGACAATTAGAGCGGAATTCCCCGCAAGCCCCGCCTCTTGAGGGCGTGGCTCAAACTGTGAGACGAAAGGGATTGGTCGTAGGAGGGACCGCGTTTGAACTCATTCAAATCGCCGTGTTGACTGCAAAATAATTCGCGGACCATCTCTACGAGTCGGTCAGCGGCAGTTAAGGAAACAAGGCAGAAAGCGGAGGTTGACGCCTTTCGTGTTCCGAGCGCGGTGTCACGCAACTTCTCCGCGGAAGAGTCCCAGGCGTGAGATGGCAAAAGCAGTCAATCCTGGAACCGTCTGCATTGTCCCTTCCCCCCACTTCTTGTATCTCGCTCCAAGCGAGAGATCGGCCTTCCACTGCGAGCAATAGGAAACGTGAGCTAGTTAGAGTTCTGTACGTTAACCAGTCGGAATGGATCCAGGTGGTCAGCCGTGTTGGTCGGAAGCAGTAGAACAAATTGCGAGTTTCCGTCTGGCTCCCTCAGCAGGACAGGGAGAATCTACTTGCAATGGATTTCAACCTTCTTCCACTTGGGAAACCTTTTCCACAGTGGCATCCGCAAGTATCCACGACCATCCTGCATCTGCGCGAGGTGTGTGTGTGCATTAAAAGAAATGACAGGATTGCCCATTTGGAAACAAAGGGAGAGGCTTGAAGGCCCATTAGAGATCATGGGAGCCAGGAATGCCAATTGACCTGCATGGGTTTCATTGAAATACAGGATAGCACAAAATAGTTGCAATGAAAATGCAGAGTGAGTTTTCAATTGATAATGCCTCTGAGCCTAGATGAACTGTTCTGGGACTGGAATAACAGGCCCCAGAGTGGAATGACAGCCCCTGGGAGTGGTGGAAGTGTTCTGGGAGTGGAATGACAGTCCCCACAGTGGAATGTCCAGGTCAGACCTCTTCAACTTTTTTGAGCCTGTGGACAACTTTGGAGTTTTGACACAGTGTGGTCAGCCCAGCCACAAAATAACTGCTGCAGGAGGCAGACCCAGACAGAAAACAATCACAGGTCCCGTTCACACGGAGCATTTGCCATGCTAAAGATACGGATGATAGGCGGATTTTCCAGGCACGATCACACCACAACATCTGGGAAGCGTAGTGCACCCGTGGCTAACTCATGGCTTCTTGCCAAAGATACGGAGTAAAAAACCAGTACATACGATGTGCTAGTTTCCGGGAAACGTGGGGCAAGGGCGGGCGTCTGATCACGTTTCTGCTGGAATCCCGTGGCATCTGGCGCCCGCCCATGTCCTGTTGCAAACTGGATGGGGTTTTTTTTTGTCTCCACAGGATGCGCACAAACGCCCACCAGTACATGCGCACACTGTGGTGAGGGAAAATAAATCCCTTGGCCATATGGGTGATCGCGCCGCTTCTTTGCCACGCTGCAGGATAGCCGTGTGATCGGCACCTAACGGCATACCCACAGGACGTCCACAGGACATGTGATTGGGCTGCCGCGCATTACTTTGTTCCAGGGCAAACAGCCACGCTACCCCCCACCTGCATTTTCTGGCCCGTGTGACCGGGACCACAGTATACCTTCAGTCACCCAGGGAAGATCCTTGAGATGTCGCAGCTGCTGCTAAAGGAATTGTTTTAAAAATCTGCACAGCTCATCAGAAGCCTTGTCTAGCAAAAGTTCCATCTGGCCCCACCCACTTCCTAAAAACACTTGAAGGGCACCAGGAGAATTGTTGGCAGGCACCATGGCACCCATGGGCACCGTGTTGGGGACCCCTGCTCTAGGTGATGTGTTCTTCCGTATATGAAGATTTCAGTATCTCATCTCTCTGTAGACCGTCATGCCATTGGCCCATCTTGACAATGGCTCTGACTGCCTCTGGCTCGCTGGTATCTCAGGCAGAGGCAAACAGTTCTCTGCTTCCTGCCTTCTCTTTGATACCCCTGACCTCCACTTCTTGACACACACTCCTACCCAACCATTCACTATGGCAATTGCAAGAAGGGAGTCATGAATGAAAATTTACCCATACACTATTTTTGTTCAGGCACCTTTCTGGACGCCTGCCAAGTGTTTGTCGAAATTGGTGGGCCCAGCTGTGGCTTTTCAGCAGGGCTTCTGATTGTCCATCTGAGATTTGATTGGGCGTGCAGATTTTTATGAAGCTGGTTTATTACTGAACAAAACTGATTTGAACAAAACCGGTTCGCATATGAAATATGTTGGCAGTTTGATCGTGGCTGGTAGGCAAGCTACATAATACCATCGTCTGGAGCTGCAACAGAACACTATGCAGCCTTCTGCTGTGAGGTTGCCTTGCAGGACTCTTCTGGGCAGGCTGACCATCTGCTGGTATCTTTATCGGCTACTGACAAAAGGTACCGTAGCAGAGGTTGTTCCTGTATGCACATTTGGTTTCCCATGGAAAGAAGTTGATGGTGTAATTTCTGGTATTTCCAGTGGGCAATCCTGTCATTCCTTTCCGTATATCCCTTTGCAGGGGTATCCTCACTAGAAAAAGCAGGCACTACTGTTCAGGGGCAGATGAATGCTGCTGCGCCATTTCCTCCTGTTACAAATTTCACTGAGGAAGTTCCTCCTTGTTACAGATCTCACTGAGGATCATCGCTGGGTAAATGACCTCTGCACTAAGGCAAAGGAGGCCGTGAGGACGAATGCATCTTCAGGTCTTACAGGTTGGCTGTGGTGCTAAGCATAATAACCGTACAGGCAGTCAGGAACAGATTTCTAAATTAAAACCAAAATCAATTTAAATGTTCAAACTGTGAAGCAGAAGCTTTCACTTTTCTACATACCACATTTTTGTAATTCATCACTAATGTATCATATGTTATGGTTACACTTAACAGACAAACCTAAATGAAGTCATAGCCCTATAGGTCCAATGCAGTACAAATAATTCATATTCACATTAGTAGCAATATAGATGCAGTGGCTATGCCAGAGTAATTAATCCAGAATAAAAGAACATGGATTTGTGTGTGCTCCCTGGCAAGAGCCAGAAATGTCAGACTAGTATCTGGGAGACTTGGCTTTGGATCCCCACTTGTGCCATGGAAGCTTTTGCTCGGTGACCTTGGGCCAGGGAGAAAGGCAGGGTACAAATGAATGAATGAATGAATGAAATGTTGTTAAATCACAATTTACTATCTAGCCAGTAGTTATTCTCCGACCTTCTCCAGTCATGTGTTCTGTGGGAATTAGCTGGAGTTTTAAATACTGATCACTTTCCATAGTAATGGAGCAAAATCAGAGATGATCTCTGTGTGATTGTGCTCTAATGCAAGCAGAATGAAGTTTTCATCCCATCGGACTAGCAATTGCAGAGTGTTGTTGCTAATACTGCAATGCAAATCACTGATTTTTGGGGGGAGGGGGCAAATCTAGTCAAGTTTTACTTTGGTGTACTCATGAATGCTCATGTTCCATGTAATCAGTTTCTGGGCATCTTGTATGGCCAGTTAGCATTCAGACTCCAAGGTTGCTTTCAGCATCACAGAAATATACACATTGATCCTTTGCATGATTACTCAGAGGTAAGTCAGTGGGACGCCTAAGAACTCAGTGGGACTTCCTCTGAGCAGTCATGCAAATGATTGATATGCATGTTTGCCCCAGAAAAATGTACATCGGGTTGCAGCTTTAGTGTGTTTCCAACCATACTTTTTATACCAGCTCCAATACCACACTGTCTAATGCTTCTGGTGTGAAACTTACCTTGTGTAGGATTCAACTAGTTTTGGAAGTTGCTGTTTTGTTTATCCAGATGGTAACTTACAACTATTATGGGGACAGCCAGCACAGCCACTTTCCCCTCTTAAGGTGAACTCATACTTTCTAGATGCTGGCATTTATTTATTTTTTCTCAATATTTTTTATTTTTTAAAGACATAAACATACAGTGGGGGGGATTTATCTTTCAATTCCTTCTTTGACAAACTCATGCCTAATTTATCATACATTTATGTATTTCACCTTATATCATTAAAATATCGCTTGCAAAAATAACAAATTTATACTTTATATGTCCTTAGCAAACTTTCAATGTTTTTTTTTACTTAATATAATCTTCAAACCACCTATATAATCTTGACCATGTATTTTCAAATGTCATTTCTGGTTGTCCTTTCAAAATTAAAGTTAGTTTGTCCATTTCCGCTGTTTCCAAGATTTTATTTAAAATTTCTTCTCTCAAAGGTGTTTCTGTTCTTCAATATTTAGCATAAAGTATTCTGGCAGTTATAGTTAAATACAATATAAGAATAATTTTTTTTACAGTTTTCAGGCACTGGCATTTATGACCTTTCTAGTGAGCTCTCTCAGCAAACAGCCTCTGACATGACCTTTTAACTTGGCTCGTTTAAGTGATCTCCGATGACTCAACATGTAGCAACCTTTTGGTTAACACAGGCCCCGGTCACACAGGGGAAAAAGCAAGGCCAAAGTGCGGCTTTTCTGAGCCGCAGCAAAATAGACGTGCGGCGGTGGGATCAGACAGATCCCTCGAGCCGCTGCGCAGTTGCTCCCCGGCACGATCAGATGCCGGGGGGGGGGAGCCACGGAACGGAGAGCGAGGCAGCCGGCTGCGCATGTGTGCGCATGCGCAGTTTGACTGGGAGCCTCGAATGCTGCGGAAGACGGGCGATCCGGCGATCCCACGGCTGCCTTTGCTGCGGAGCTTCAGGTAGGTAGTATTCTTCTAGGGGTTTTTTTAATGTGCGGTTTCGCCCGGAAAGGACGGATCGGGGACGGGTGTGCTCCGCTTCCCAGATGTTGTGGTGTGATCGTGCCTGTTTGATGCACCCCCGATCCATCCCTCTTGCGGGGCAAAACCTTCCGTGTGACCGGGGCCACAACCACTTATTGATAGTATAAGTTTTGTTGTTGTTGTTTGCGAATGACCTTTCTTGTGAATGCTTCAGCTATTTTGCGAGCTGCAGCTCAACATGTTTCTGAACCATGATGTCATGAGCTG